CACCCAACTTTTCCCTTCCCTTCCCTTCCCTTCCCTTCCCTTCCCTTCCCTTCCCTTCCCTTCCCTTCCCTTCCCTTCCCTTCCCTTCCCTTCCCGGCAGCACTGCTGGTGCTCAGAGTAGAAATGACTTTGTGTGATACAGGGGACCCTCGTAATGAAGATCTTGCACCGTGGTCCTCATTAAAATGCTCATTTGAAGGCGTGGATCTCCATGTCCTAGCCAGTTTCAGGGAGCTGATGGGGTTTAACACTCCCTCCTGGAGTGTGAAAGTCAATCCCACAGTATTTATGTTGTAGGAGCAAGGATTAATTTAGATTAGTGAACAGAGTGATTCATGCTGTATTGTGGGGGATAGCAGTCTTTAAATGCTCTTTTCTCTTAGCCTCCAGTGAGCAGAGATGTACATGTATTTGCACACCATTTGAGCTTACGATACTTTCATCCTTCAAGCCTGCACAAATCACCTTTAGAAGCAACCAAACAGATTGTACAACAGCGAATGGCATGCAAAATTGTTGGGCTTTTGAAGTATATTAAAAGAAATTAAGCCAAAGATTTGCTTGTAGGGAGTGGTTTTTGTCTTCCCCTCAAGGTTGGCTCTATAGGGTAGTGATTGGTATGTGATGTTGGAACTACAGAATGAGCARTACCCCTCTGAATCCCACTCCTAAAAAGGATGTCTGTTGTGTTAAGGGTAACTGGAAAGACAGTGTCTGTGTCTGGATGTTAATTAGTAAAAGTGCAGTAACAGGGTGTGTGTGTGTGTATATAAAATACATAAATTTTTAATTATTTATATATATATAAAAGAAGATACATTCTTAGTTGTGAAAACAAGAAAATGTTTATGGAAAGCTTTCCTTCAAAAGATCAAATAAACTCTTATTTCTGACCTCACTGCAGTGCGTGTGTTTGCCTTGTAACTTTTACTTTGTGGCTTTGGCAATTCCTGTATTTTTTTTCCTTTTTTTTCCATCTGTTAGGTCTTGTCCAAAACCTACTTGTGCCTCCTTTTCCACTGCTCCGTCTCTCTTCCAGAAAGSGTGCTGTTTTCCAAGTGGACTCTACGCGGATGATTTAAAGGTCTCTTTTTTTACTCTTTAACTCATTTTGCAGAGGAAGAGGATGGTGAGGAGGTGCCAGAAGTTCAGGTGTCTGGAAAAATCGGAGCAAAGAAACAGAGGAAATTAGAAGAGAAACAAGCCAGAAAAGCTCAGCGAGAGGTAAGCGTTTCCTGCCACGTATAAAACCCCGGGCAGAGCCTGAATAGCAGCAGTCAGCAAAGAGCAGGTGACAACTGACACTCCAGAGAGGCAAAAGCCTTGCGGTCATTACAGCTGCTTCATTTTTGTTCTAAAAATGTTAATTCAGCCTTTTGTGCCTCATCCTCAGAGGGGGATGTGTTCTCCCCTGCCTTGCCATCTTTTGGTTGTGCTCGCTGGGATTCTTAGGGGGAAGAAAGGGCTTGAATTCTCTTTCTGCTAACTTGCAGCTTAATCTCTGTGCCTTGCATCCTCTTAAAAGTACAGCTTTGCATCCGTTCAGCTTGACTTCAGCTTTTATTTTGCCTGAGTTATGTTTTCATGTAAAATTTCATGTTTTCACGTGCTCTGTGGTCTCTGTTGCTGCATCCCACAAGACCTGGAGCTGAGGAGCAATTTCCAGAAGGCAGCTGCAATGGATGCAGGGAGGGCTGTTATAACGCAGGGCCCACAACTAAAACCCTGGGGAGATCTGAGTTGTTTTGCATGTGCTGTCAAAGCAGGAAAAAATTATGGTTTTACCTCTGTTTAGAGGTGCTCACTGTTCTTAGAAGGTGAAAAACAGACCCTGTATTCCACTGAAATGTGTAATATTTTGGTTGGAGCATGGTCTTTAAAGCAGCCCAAGCATACAGAGCGAGCACACTGTAGCTTTTCAGTTACTGCATTTCTTATTTGTGTAAAATTACCCATTTAGATGCTGTTTCATTTTTCGGTTTTGTCTAGCAAGCTGCTATTAATACCTGGGAAGCAAACCTCTTTTTGCAGTCTTTCTTTCTGAAGCATCCTTATGGATGACTGCAGCGTTATGCTTTAAATCCTTTTAGTAGTCAGACTTTTGGTTTTCAAACTTGGTCTTGTTCTGCAGCTCAGAACATGGGCTTGCAGGGGGCAACAAGAAGTAGATCAAACTCTCAGACTTTGCATRACGGGTCCTAAAGTGCAAAGTGGACATGACACAACTCATAGAAAAGAGTGGCGTCATAAAATAACTAAGGTCTCTAATGTGGAGAGGGTCCACATAAAGCGAGGAAATTTTCCTTGAATTTTCAACTTGATTCCTTGAATTTTCACCTTGGTTCCCCCTGATTCCAAGGTGAATCTCCACCTTGAATTTTCGTGTAGCCTAAGGCCTAAACGCAGAGCAGATGTCTCTGCTTTATACTGTAATAGCATGACCTCTGACAGGACAGATGATACAAACCTGGTTATATATAGCCCCCCATTACGATCCTCTGCTCACTCACTCTGTACTTTAACCATTTTGTCATAACTTTCCGTAGTCATTCTAYGTAATTAGGCTGGATTTTTTTTCTTTTGTGGAAAATCTGAGCAAAATTGAATGAAGRTAGATAAGCACTGGTTGGTGGAGCAAGGAATCATTTGTTTCCTTTTAGAAATGCTGATTTTTATTTTCCCTTTTAGACAGGTAAATTCCTTGGTTGGGCTTTTTTCACTCAAACATTCAAAGCCACAAATCCTCTGCAAAAATGTGTTCTGCGTGCTTTCTTAATATAGCTATACTCAAATTTAATTATATTTAAGAGACTGAAGAACAATTTTAGAAAGATCTGTAAACGATACATTAAACACTCTAGTTTTTCTCTTTGCAACAGTATTTCTGCTAGATTTGGTAAAGAAAAATAAAATGAAGAGGCCTGTGCAATTGTTTTATCTCTTTAAATGGGATTCTGCTTTCTAAAAATTTTAATCCATAAAATTTAAATGATTTTTGCGGAGATTTACCTAGGCTGCATTGTGCCCATGCTTGCTTCCCTCACCCTGTCCCCTGAGGCTGTTCCAACTATATTTCAAGTGAGGAGAAAAGTAATATTGTGTCAGGGTGTTTTAGACTATTACTATAGCAATAAGCTCATAGGCACATACCAAGCTTGAAAAACCTTATTGCAAAAGAGCCTTCAGAGGGGTAATTTATAAGCTTATCACAATATAAAATAAGGATCTAGGGAAAAAGTTAATTGGTAAGGACTTTTTCTTTTTTTTAAGTGGGTTTGTTTCTTTATTCTATCTAAACGTGCACCCAGGAAGATGATAAGAAAACCCCCCACGGTATCACAATATGAAATTTAAAATTGTATGTATTCAGGAAGAATAAGTCCTGGCTTGCTTTTTTTTCTTTCCTTTAGGCTGAAGAAGCAGAGCGAGAAGAACGGAAAAAACTTGAGTCAAAGAGAGAGGAGGAAAGGCGGAAAGAAGAGGAGAGAATACGTCTCGAAGAAGAACGACAGGTGGGATTGACTATAATTTGTAGATGGAAATTTTGAACCAAGTTTTTCTTTGTAGCTTTGCTTTTCTTTAAGCTCTGTGCTGAGGAAATACTCCCTCTCATTAGCCCTGTCGGCATCTTTTCTGTGCAGTTTTGTTGCTTCATTTAGTTTGAATTACAGTCATACCGAGGGATTTCAACAAAAAATCCCAGCTTTATTCACCCGGATGCTTCAGAGAAGTGATAAAAGTCCTGCTCCAAATGTCTGAAYACACAAGCATGGACAGTCAGAGGTTAGGGCAAAATGAAAGCAATTTCCTTCCAGGGGAACCTGTCTGCTACTGCTGAGCAATAAAAATAATTGTTGGGCCTGTTTGCTGTGTTGACAATTGCAGTGTTTAGAGTTGGTCCCTATTTGTCTGGGCCCAGCTCAAGTGTGGGGATCTGAAGAAGGGAGTTGTGTCTAATCATGGTAGAAGTTTCCAGGGCAGCTGAAATGGTGCCTAGCAGGCAARTTTTGGTTGTCACAGAGTCACAGGATAGACTGGAAAGGACCCGTGGGGTTAATCTGATCTGCTGTCTTGCTCAGAGGATGTCTGGTTACAGCAGGTTGCTCAGGACCTTGTGCAGCCAAGTTGTGCCTGTCTTGAGGATGGAGAATTCCCAGCCTCTGYGGCCGTTATTCCATTAGCTGATCATGCTCATGGTAAAAGCTTTTCATGCATTTAATTGATATTTTTTTCTTCAAAATTGTGCTCTTTGCCTGTTGTTGTGTCGAGTGATGCTTGTTAGTTCTGCCTGCCTCGCAGCAACAACCAGCGGGGTAGAAAGTGAAAGACACCATCAACCAGTTTTGCAACCCTTGTGCAAAACTATAAAGTTTAATTCAAATGATGGAATTTAACAATGTGCTTTACAATTACAGGCTTCTAAACTCTCCACATTAGACTTCTCTAGCAGAAGTGACCCAGAAAAACTGAAATACCCGGAAAAACTGAAATACTTATAAGCACTTTCCTCGCTGAGGAAGGCAAGCAGTTCTTTCAAAGCTGCTCTGTGCTAGTGGCTAAGAAGTGGCAGCAAGTTGTGCATTAGCTTTGCAACGTGCTCCTAGAGGCAAGAGCCAAGGGGTTCTGCACCAGCCTGCGTTGGGTAGTTGCCCCCCCCGGGGAAGCAGAGCCCTCAGCTTCCAGTGTGAACTTCCCAGGATACTTGAGCACGCATGAGGATATTGGTTAATAGCTAGCAGGTTTATTTTAATTTGTTTCAAGCAGAAATTTTATAAATGGGAATGTGTTACTGATTACATTTTAAGGRGAAAATGCCTTGTCTCTTTTCTCTTCCCTTAGTTGCGTGAGGGCAGAATAAAGSCACTTGTTAATTTATTTTATTTTTTAATTAATGTTTTTTTTTTCCATACATTATGCTGCAGGTTGTATCCACTAGATGTTGCACAGCTTCTAGAATGTGTGCTTATGTTATGTGGTTATTCTCTGAAAAATCATCTATCTTCTGAGCTCTCTCTTGATCCCTTCTCATCAACAGAAGGCTCCTAAATTTCAGAGATCGAGTTGGATGGGGAGGCTGTTGGTAGAAACATCAAGGCGCTTTGTAATGTGGCCCAAGACTTTGGGTTACAAAGCAGTCTTAAGAAGAATTTTTTCAGGGGGTAGTTATTCCAGAACTGYCCTTCTAAGAAAATTGCACAAATTTAAAGTGTCTGGTAGTGGCCAAAGCTAAGATTAAGTAACTGAGCTCAGCGAGTCCCAGCCATTCCTCTGCTTGCTCAAGCTTTTTCATGCAAACAGGACAATCTGATGTGATTTCCTATAGATCTGTCTGCACCTKCTATCTTTTCTCCTGCCCCTTTTGGACTGTAGCCCGCACCTCTGCCTTTGATCCCCATGGCTGCTGTCCTGGACATCTCCAGGTTCTCCCCTTGACACCTGCAGCTCGGGAGGAGGCCACACAAGCTCTGTGGCCTGTCCTGCCTGCTGTGGGACTCGTCCATCCTACAGGCCAAGCACAACAGATTACTTAGCATGGGTGGGAGGTTTCCTTCCAGTAATACATTGTTCTGTGTGTTTTGTCTCTACCCAATTCCACAATTTTCTTTTTTCTTTCTTTTTTTTTTTTTTTTTCTCATGATTTTGAACGTTTCCCCTACAGAAGGCTAAGGACAGACCTTCAATTCCTTCCCGAGTGGTGGCCAGCAAGGCAGGGGAATTGTCAGGCAAGTAGCAGTTGAGCTCAGCCAACTTGCTCAGAAAGAGCCTTTATATCCCCCAGCAAAGAGGTTAATTCTACTAATTACTGTGCAATGTGACCTGGGGGGTAACGGTGCATCCGCCTGAGCTGGATCACTCGGGCACATCTGAAGAACTGAGTAGAAAACAAAGGTACAACTCTAACCAGAGATGTCTTCCATGCAGAAATTGCTGCATTTGAAAGGAAGAAAAAGACAGCAGATTTAGCCACTTCGGCTCAATTGCGGCTAATCTGTTTTGCTTGACTCGGGAAAATCTTATTTGTGTCTAATTTTCAGTCTTTCTAGGAAAGACTGCACTGGGATGCTTCCACCACCATTTTGCAAGGCTTAGTAAAAATGAGGAGTATAATTTACAGCTTTGATATTTTTTTTTCTGCTGTGAATAACAGTGCCCAACAATGCAAGGAAGTTTCACATTTACTCGCCGTAAATTTGAAAAGCGCTCAGATGACTAAATTTAGCTCAGTGTTCACTTCAGGCAATAACTTTCTCAGATACTTAAAATTACAGAATTCATTTTTTTGTCTTCCCTCAGTAAGTCATAATTAGGGCAGCAAGCCAGCCCACTGGGCTACATCATGAATATTCTGCTACTCRGTGGAAAAACTCCCATTGTTATGTGTGTTTATGTGTTATTTCTCTAATTTCTGCTCCTTTTTTTGCCAAGTCAGGTTGGTAATTCAGTAGCTGCTACACATCTTGAGTGTGGATCAAAGTTAAAAACTCTGCTAGTGTTTAATGTTCGCCTGCTTAGTAATTTATATGTGTCTGTCTTCATATGAGTCTTGAACAGGAAGCAGATCGATGCGAGACATCTGCGTGTTCGGGCTGTGGTGCTCCGAGTTCCTGCTTCAGTCAGCAGAGAGAGCAGTATTTACAGGGAGAACTGTAATAACAAGACTTGAATGGCTTTAGTCCTGCCTGGGCAAGGAGAGGGGACACGAATTGGATGAGYAGATACTTGATACGTGTATGTACAACCTGTCATTACCAGCACAACACGTTACCTTTCAAATCTCCTTGCAGACCCGCTGTGTCGTGTAAAAGATACTGCCTCTCTGATCCTTTATCTCCCATGCGGGCCTGAAGTAATTGTGCTGTGTTTTGCACAACGCATAGGATACAGGATGCTGTTTCCCTGGAAAAACACTCCTTGGGAAAGGATTGTTGGTTTGCACCAATAGCGTTTTGGGCATTGCACACGTTCTGTCCTCCTGTGTGTGTTGAATGGAAAGGCAGCATTATGAAATGTTGTTCAAATGGTGATTTGATCAGTCRTAAGTTTTAAGACAGAGGGCGTTTTTAGAAACAGTTTGATTACCAACTCTCCCTTAGTTTATATAATCCCAGAAAGTGCAAGAAATTCAGAGTTTATTACTGAAGTTTTTCTGAGGGGAAAAAAAAAATTGTTGTCAGATGACTCCATTTTTCCCTTCTTTTCAGCTACAGTTCAGGAAAGCTGCGAGGCCCAACGAGGAGAGTTTCCTGCCTCCAGGAAAAGTCAGTCCTGTGTGCACAGCTTGTGCACTGTTTCACTTACTGCACATCCAGTGATGTGAACCAAGTGGTTTTGTTCACATGAATTTACTGGCTAAGTTTAATTTAATTGCAAATAGACTTAATTTGTTTGCCAGAGAACTTAGTGAAGAGCAGCTAGTCAAAAAACGTTACCCGTGCAACCGTCTCTGTTAGCTTTTCAACCAAAAATGTCTCAACTTCCCTGAACATTGAGATTTCCTTCGTGTGAAGGAGACTTCCAGCCCGTTAGCTACTAAACTAATAGCTGGATCGTAGGCAACAACGAGGTTGGATTCCATTAAATACTATCAAAAAACTTTGTCAGATGATAAAGGAAGCCTAAATAGGATCAAGGAGATAGAAAACCATGTTGCAGCTTGCAGGTCTTGTAGAAAGCCCTCAGCGTGGATCTTTGAAGTTGCTGAATATTAACCCCTCTTTCCCACACCCATCCAGGAGTTTGAGAGACACRGAGCCTGGTGGAAATAATGAATCCCTAAATCAGGTGAAAAATAGATATCTCTTTCCAATTATTTTGGGGCAACTCCACACAGCATTACATGTTGCTGAACTTTAAAACGGACTTACAAAGGCCGAAATCTTGCATATTCTTGAGAAAAATAACCCCTTGCTTCTATTTAAGCATATTTGTATGCACATATAAATAAAATGCGGTTGCCTCGTGGCTCCAGTGTTGCAAACCAGATAATATATTTTTAAATTCAAGTTTCCTTTCCAGTGTTCTGCTGACCTGATTGGCTATATATGTGAGGAAGCTCCTTTATAATTGGCATTTGTTTCAGCTCTGCTTTACCCCCGGGGATTTCCCTTTCACTCTTGGAGTTTTTTAGTGGTGAGATGGTTTACCAACCGACACCTTATCAATGAGAGCGAACTTCCTCTGATGTTGCAAAACAGTGTCTTTATACAAAGCCTTGCAGATTGCTCACAAAGAGCTTTTTTATTATCTTTTTTTTTCTCCTGTGCACAGGGATTTTTGTAGATTTTCACTYGCTCAGCCTGGCTTTGCTGTGCTAAGGAAGCAGCTTCTAGCGGTGCTGATGCAGAACTTGGGGTGATCCTGCTCTTCTCCACCAAAAGGCAGCATCGAACAGAGTCTGTTGCTTGCAAATCCATTGCTGCGTGAGCTCTTGGTGAAACGTGGCTGGATATCCTAAGAAAAAATACTGAGCTTCCAGCGAGCAAACTTTTAACTGGCATGAAGCAAAAGGAGGCTGGTGTGGGAGTGGAAATGGGCATTTGTTTGCTGATATATTTAAAAATAAAAAACTAGTGGGGTCTTTTTTGTTTTCCCTCAAGCGTAGCTTTACCCAAAGTTTCCAAACTCAGGGCACTAAATTTAGTCTTGCTGCTTTGTTTTTGAAGCACCCAAATACAAATAGTTTGCTTCAGAGCTCTACAAGTGGATAATCTGCTAGTGACCCCAACCGTGGTGCTCTTGAGAACCTTTAAATTTCCTTTCTTTGGTTTGTTATTGCATCGGGTAAGAATAGGCACCCAKGTGAACAGTGTGGACTGGTGGGTTACTTTGTGTAGCATTGGGCACACTGAGGTTTGTGCTTCTCAGGAGACCCTCTCAGTAACTGGCCTTGCATTTATGTCYGCTCTTCATGCATCCTGGTGCACTTTGGAGGCCGGGGAGGTTTGCTGCAGGTTTTCAGTTTGCTATGGGTTTTCAGCATCAGATCTCAAGCATGTACGCTTTTCTAAAAATTAATTTCTTCTGAAGAACCACAGCTTGCTTGAAAAGCTTGCAGAAAATTCATTCTGCAGTCTCTCCAGGGATTGAGGACTGGTAGGAGATGCTCCCTTTTTATTTTGCCTTCCTAAAGATGGTTTCCTTTTCCTCTCTGAGCCATGAGAAGAACCTGGAACTCAATCTGCTCTATGCCAAATTGTTTACTTGTTTTCCTGGCTTCTACTTCCTTCAGGACCTGCACTGTAAGACAAAGAAATAGGTGTTATATAGGGTGGAGAAGGGATGTCTGTAGTCTGTGAACCTCGAAGTATTTGCCAGAGGAGCCAAAAGCTTCTTCCTCATTCTGCAAACAATGCAATTGGAGCAGGAGCAACTGGCAGCAGGCAGAGGTTGACGAGAGCCCAGYGCTTGCTCTACTTTCCTCACCAGCAATGAGATCTCTTCCACTAAGCAGTGGAATAAGCTGCCTATAAATGATTTGTTTGTCAGCAAGTTGGTCCTTTATCTGATTTGGAGGGGAGATGGCCCGGCTCGCAACTAGCAGTTTCCATTCTCAGCAAAAGCTGCTTAGGCAAAGCTCTTGGGAAAGCTGCTTATCGCATGGGCCRGTCTCTCCCCTTCTCAGTACCACCTTAAATGGGTTATTGCAGCAAAAACTCAAAGCTGGGGCTCGGTATTTCCTGCTGGGCATTGTCCCCTYGCCCTTTGCTGTATGCCAAACCATTAGAAGCTGTAATGTTACAACCAGCCAGAAAATTGCAGATATTTATGCAGCATCCTGAGACTCCAGGGTGCTTCTCGGTCCCAAGAGAAGATCCCAAGACTCAGGGGCTGCTCCCAGCTATAAATCCAGAAGAGTTTTCAAGTCGCTCTGGGTTTAAGCTGATACGAGATTGGGCGTTTGTGCAGTTGGCACAATTAATGTTTTTGATGCCATGGAAATAATCTKTGTGATCAAGATCAAAGGCGAGCAGAAAGTAATGATCTGAAAGGAGCCTGACGGCAAATCCAGGCCCTCGGTGGGCAGTAGGGATGGAGGGAGCCTGGAGAGCAGCGGGAAGGACTGGGAAGCCGAGCAGTTCAGCAGGGGAGAACGTGTTGAAAAGCATCTCCCCCAGCACTGGAGCTCTGCAGGCTCCTGGGGCTCTGCTTACCAAAACACCACGCAAGAYTGAGAGCACGCAGGTAGATCCGAGCGGTAATGTGGGCATCTGCCTGGAGAGAGAAGGAAAGAGGTGTCTTTTTGAGGAAGCTGGAGCTTACGGCCTTTTCAATAAAGACTAGATCAGAGCGGGGAGTTTCGGTCCTTCACACGCAGTGTAGGAAAATGATCAGAACGGAGTCCTCACTCTGCAGCAAGCCCCAGCTGGGCTACATTTAGGAGGGTGAGGAGAACAAACCTGCTGCAGCTGCTTTGCCCTTTCTCCCCTTTTTGCAGGGGAGCAGCAGCAGCAGCCACCCCATTTCAGCGTGCTGGGATTTCCCCTGATCCCCACCCTGCGTTAGGGCTGGGGAAGCGGCCCCGCTCTGCCCTCTCCTCGGGCACCCYGGCTTTGCCACTGAGCTCCACCACCGTTAAAAGCAGATAGAGCAGGGAGGACTAAAGAAACCCCATCAGTGAAGTTGGGTGGGGTTTTTTGTTGAATTTTTAATGCATTTTTAAGCTGAGTGCAGCCTCTGTTGCACACGCAAAGCAAGTGCTGGGCCCTGTTTAATTAGCAGACGCTGAAGTCCTGAACTGGAACTCCGTGTTTCCATGTGTAGATTAAGCTTGCAGGTAGGTGGGGGTTTTTTGGGAATGCATCTTGGCTAAATGCGACCATGCATCTTCTGTGCAATTGCTGTAGGACTTGGGCATATGGAAGAAGGTTAGAGTGGCTGGAAAAAGTTAATAATAATAATAATAGTTGAAAGCATGTGAGGCAGCTGCATTGGGAGTGGCTGGGATTTTGAAGTTGAAAAGCTTCTGGAATTATTTAGCCTTCTGGAGGAGGCAGCAGCCGACAGGAACATGAGGCTTCAGGGGCTGAGGTGCCTTAGCTGCCAAAACGGTGGCGTGGACCACCTAGAAATGCCCTGGTGACCACAGCGTGAGAATTTGGATGTGGAAGATGGGTTGGGTTGTAAGGAGAGGGCCAAAGAGGGCCAGCTGTCCAAGAGCTCAGTACTCCACCTTTCTCACGTGCAGAGAAGTGTGTCTCTTTGCTGAGCTGGAAATGGAAATAATGATGTTAACATGCTGACAAACTTGAATAAAAATAGTGCTTTTTGGGTAGATAAGAGAGATAGCTATGAGGTTTGTTTGCTTGCTGGACCTTCGAAAAATAAAGCAAAATATTGCTCAGTTTTTGTTAGTCCCACTTGGAAATGGGACACTGTCTTTTGATTTCTTTTGTAGAATCATTTAAAATTATTTGCCAAAGCAGTTTTCAATTCTTGCAGTTTTTCTCCTTTCGAGTTATGTCAAATTACAACCGTTGTAGTAGATTAAGAGAAACGCCCTTATTCTTTTATTTTCAGGATCAAGATAAAATTTGATGGGCTTAGAAAAAGAAGAGCTGCTGTCACTTCCAAATGAAATAGGGTTGTGTTGTTCCTGGCTCCTGCCGTCCTTGCAGTAAACAAAAAATCTGCAGCTGGACTTTTGCTGATAATCGTTATGGTGATAAATCACCCAGAAAATGTTTTTTCTTTTTTTTTTTTTTCTCTCTCTTTTTTTTCTCCAAGAGCTTCTTCAGATCTGTAGCTTTTTCATGAGACTGTCGTTAAAAATAGTTTTGACTTTGCATGTTCAGTGGGATCCTTTCAGTCTAGTTTTTCCTGTGCTTGCACGTTGATTTCATTTCTTCTCATGACTTCCCAGGAGTTTTGTGAAATACAATTAAGAAAATAAATTTTCTTAATCAAAGGGAATACATTTTTAATCAGAGGGCATCACTTCTGTGCCCTATGGGCACAACATAATGGGGTTATCTGACTGTTTTTGGCCTTACRTAGTGTCTTTTCTAACACGGACATTTTTCAGGACATTTGATGTGTAACTTATCTCTGTGTCTTCCTGTTTTAATGGAACAAGTGCTCGTTTTCCASCCATTTAAGACAGCAGTTCCTGTATTAGTGGGAAAGCAGTAAGCTTTTAGAAATCAGGACAGTTGTTACTGAAGAGATGGATTCCTGCACGGCGCAGACTGTCACTGAGACTTGAAGAGCTCTTCCCCAGTGTTCATCAAGGCACTGCAGAGTCAAAACRGGCTCTGATGGTAGCACATGGGGTACAAACATGAATTTCTCTAAGGAATTGTTGCATAAGGAAACATTTTTATTTAAATTTTATATATAAAAGTGTTTCAAGAATTGCAATGGGGGAAAAAAAGCTGCAAACTGATAAGATCCAACTAGAAAACTGTTGTTATTTGAAATTCTTTCTTTAAGATACTGTGTGTGATAGAGATCACTTTATAATTACACTTTTGCTGTGTGAACATGCATGGCTGTTCTCTGTTACCGTTTCACTGATATTAATGTGTCTGGCTTGGTGGTTTCTGAGTTGTCTTTTTTGCAAGGGCTTTTTAAGGACTTTCGAAAGTTCTTTTAGAGTAGATAAAAATTCTCTAACTGCAGTAACTAAAAGCAGAGCCTGTAGGTTTTGGTTAACAGTTAAACCTGCAAAATAAGTTATTTTTTCTTAGTACAGTCATACCTTGTTTCTTATAACTAAATGGCATTTTTATTGCAGTTCGTTCTACTAGCATAGACGTGCTTGGCTTGTAGGTCATCAGAAAGAGGTTTTATTGCAGCTCCCCTACCAGCCAGCTGCTTCACGCCCGTGGATGGACACCCGTAAAGCTCCATTCTGTTCTGTGGTTGCTCCAAATGAGCCCTAGTGCTAGCTGCTAAAATGTGGATATCACATCAAAAGTGCGGTCGGGGCAGGGATTTCCTGTCAGGTGATTGCAGAAGACCCGTGTTCATGCAAATGAAGAAAGATCTTTGCTATATAAGAGCATTTTTTTCCTCCCCTCTATCAGATCTGTTAGGAACCAGCCTAGGGCAGTGAGTTGCGTGCGGGCTTGTGCTACCATGTGGGATGGTTACTTTCTTAAAGGACATTTCTCAAGCAGAGCAGCTTGAGAAATTAATGAGGCAACCGAGTGAGAACTTAGTTTTCTAACATCCTCTGTCTGCAGGCTCTCCTAATGGAAAACTGGCCTGCAAATGAAGCAGATATTCCTCAACTTCTGAAACTAAACCTGGTTTGGAGAGGTGCTGGCTGACCACTTGCCATCTTTTCCCTCCAGGAAGAGGAAAAAAGGAAAGCAAAGGAGGAAGAGGAGAAGAGAGAGTATGAAGAGTACCTGAAGCTGAAGGAGAGTTTCGTAGTTGAGGAGGAGGGCGTTGAGGAGTCAATGACAGAGGAAGAGGTATGTTGAACTGTGTTCAAAATAGTTCCCAGGGAACATTACAGTTCTTCGTTCCAGAATCTACTAGTTAGTTTGAAGTGCTGAAGCAACTGCTTGTTGCTGGAAACGAGCTCTCATCTCCCTTCATGGGTGGACTGGAATAAAATCAATCCAGGGGTTGGATGTTTGCAGCTGTGGGCGGCTCTGCCCCATCACTCTGCAGTGTGCCAGTGGGCCAGGTAATACCAGATGAAACGGGGGCCAAATTCAGAATTTGGAGCCCATGTATGTTTGGGTTAGCTTAATTTCTGGTTCTGTTTTCTGCAGGAATAGAGATGCTGTGAAATCAAATGAAAAATCCAGCAGAAACAGAGCTAGTCTTAAAAACTTTCTGTTGAGAAAAATCACAGGAGTCAACCTGGGTGCTCTGGGTTGTATGTTAGAAATCTGTATGCTAGAAAATTGCATGTTGCAAAAGATTGCACTGGCTGATAGTATTTTAAGCATTTCGTAATGCTCTAATGTGCTGCTCCTGTGACTGCCTGTAAATGTAGTGCCTGGAATGTGCTACGTGACATGGGAGCCCAGCAAAGGTGAACACGTTTGGCTCTTGTGGGAGGCAGCGCTCTCCTTCACAGGACRCCGAGGAGAAAACCTGTTAGATGCCAATTGCCAACAGTGCTGAGGTGGCCCTTGGGTTRCAGCTGCCAAATTGGAGCTGTCCACAACTCCATTAAATTCTGTCTGTTATTTCTGGGGTCACACACGTGTATTCATTGCTCTTCCTGCTCTGCTGATGTGACCCTTCCGAATTGGATGAGTTTGTCCTTGGTGTGACTGGGAGACTTGTAATTAGTCAGCACAGCTTGGCCTCAGTCTCAGGTTCTCACCATGTTCCCCTTGCCATTAMCACGTTCCCTGCATCGTGCCAGGGTTAGGTTCAAGAGATGGGAGATTTTCAGAGAAGTGAGGAGCAATTCAATGCCTGGCTCTTACTGAAAGAGCCTTCAAAAACGTGCCCCTATCCTCAATCTTTCCTATCCAAAATCTGCTAGCTGCAAAGACTTGAGAGAGGAAAGCGTGGTGAAAAGCTACTGTTCCACCTTTTCGTTAATGAAGTTGGCCCAATTAAACACTRTGGAGACTGCTAGAGGATCAGATTATTGCTAAAAATTAAATTGGTCCATTTTAGATTCACTTCAAAGCCAGAATGTCTTCATTGGCTTTAGCTACCTATCAGAGAGAAATGAATCTTTCCATACATGGAGCRGAGAAGGTCATTCCTCCCTCACAAGAGTATCAAAAGATCTCTGGATTGGGGGGAGTGGTTAGATTTTTTTAATAGTCAATTAAATAGTTAATTTAACTGTTTGGAAAGTGTTCTTCAAAAACAGCCACGGGTACATGGTTAATTTGGGACACTAGCCTTGCAAAAATGGCAAGGTGCCCTTCTGCTTTGTGCCAGATGATGTGCCAGACCCTGCTGGGATCCTGTTAGCCTGGCTTGCTCTGCCATGTGTTGCTGAGGCTGGTGTGCTCCAATTGGAGCTCCAAGTTAGGGGCCTGGATGCAAAACTGACCAGCTAATTAAGGCTGATTTGATTTCCAGGGCTGCAGAGTAACTGGATCTCCYGTTAACATCACATTGTTTGCATGGCCTTTGAAAGCTGAGCCTCTTTTATTAAAATRCCTGATTTCAGGTGCCTCGCTTAGAGCATGGCTCCAGCTTCCACATGTGCTGTGCAGCTGTGCTGCACTTGGCCATCTGCAGGAGCTGCCTCCTGAGTTGCTCTGTGCTTAGTCTCTGCACAGAAACATCCTCCGTGCACGTAACCTAATGCACAAAAGCACCCAGATGTGGTTGTTTCAGGTTGTGTATGATGTGAAGAATAAGTATTTGCTGAAGGGCTTGCTTTCAGAGAGTTCACATGGTGCTTGAGCCATACCCTTAGAAAATGCCCAGCATAAATCCAAGTTAAAATTGAAACCAGGCTTCTTCTCAGTTCAGAATCTCCCATGTGTGTGTGAATTTAGGATTGCAAGCTGGTTTGTATGCAAGCTAAACGTATTTTTATAGTTTTTATTCGCAGCAAGTTGATGATGCATTTAGTGTTCAGTAATTTAAAATAATAATTCTTTTCCTTTGCCGTATCCAGTCTCGAAGCTTTCTAATGGAATTTCTCGAGTATGTCAAGGTAAGCAGCTGCTGGTCTTTTTCTCCTCCTTCTCTACTTATTAAATTATGTAAAATGTCTTTGTCAAAGAGCAGAGCCACAGAAAGAAGGGAAATCTTTACTTCCTTTTTAATTTGCTTAAATGACCARCAAGCAACAAAAGGGATACCTTAAGTAAAGCCTACATGAGGTACTTAACCATGTGTGAACATGTCCATCATCGTTAAAATGGGTTCTAATTACAGATGTATCTTCATTCCTGGGTAGGACTGTAGTCTTTTACCTAAGCTCTGGTGAATCCCACACAAAATTATGAATGGAAATGTCTGCTGTTGACTGCTGGGGTTGGAGACTCCAGGCTTTTTTGTTTGTGAATGTCAACTACTGAATTAARTTTAAAAAAGAGAGTTTCAGCGCAAATGAGAACTGTTGTACCTGAACGTGGTCTGCTCTGCAGGGTGTGTTTGTGAAATGCTGGCTGGCTTTGTAAGGAGCACTCGAGCTTYTTGCATGATTTCTTTTCTTGCTTTTCTCCTTCCAATTTACAGTGTTTTCTTAATGTTTAGAAGGGGTAACTACAGSGGAAAAAATCATTTGTCTTTAACAAGGTGTATTAGTCTTTCATGCTGTTATTGAAAAGTTATGGTGGGTTTGCAGTTCTCTGCACTTCTRAACTGTAAGAGCAAATGTTTCGTCGTCCATTATTGCTGTCAAASTTCAAATGCAGTTTTCTTAGCCTAACATTGACCTTTAGCCCCAGTTAATCCTTTTCCACCTTTATTAGAATCCAGACTCAGCCTGTCATTAATTGCACGTGTGGAAGGTTTCCGTAGCGAGCACATCTCCCGCATATCTAGTGACCTCCTTATTGCTTTGTTAGGCCAGAATCTGGGCCACTTTTGGATGTCCAYTACGCCAGCAAAAAAAGGATCAATAAACAGGTTTGTCTCATGGGTAAATCAGCCTGAGGGGCTGCCACCCAGGCTTGAAAACCAGCCTGATCCCGAGGCCCTGCAAAGCTGCAGCAAAAGCATCTGCTTCTGTGCTGCTCTCTGCATCCCTGGGGCTTCTGGTGGTGCTGCCCTCAGCTCAAGAATGGAAATAAAACCCTCGTGTGAAGATAAGCCATCAGATAGTAGATGTAATTTTGGAGCCAATTGGTATTGTCTCCCACAGAAGCTAGAGAGATTTCTTTGAAGGAGATCCCTTTGAAAAAGACTCATTTTCCCAGGATTTGGTGGAGAGGGGGATTTTGAAATGGCCACAGCTGGTAAGCACATCTTGCATTTCAATTGCTAGCTGCAGATGGTCTGCATGGCATGACCCTCATCACAGGGTCCATGAAGGCTTTTAAGATACTACCAAAGACTAAGGAAAGTCTTGGTTTTTATATTAAATAAAACAAGCTGCTGCGGGATAACAGGTGGTAGAACAACAGGATATTTCCACGTCCCTGATCATCTGCTGCTAAAACGAGGAGGATTTCTTAAGGATAATGCTACGGGGTCTGGTTCTGCACGTTGCTCTGGTAGTTTTGTTGGATGGAACAGATTAGTCACAGAAGCCTCAGTTCARTGTTTGAACGTATGTACAGTTTTATATTAGTCACTTTTATTTGACGTCAGAGAAGTTAAGCACGGGCTGGAGAACCTAATTCAGAGTGTGTTTTAGCACCTGATTTGCCGCATAGAGATAAGGTGCAGAACTGGGACACCTCTTTCTTTTACAAATTCTATTAGTTTTTTTAATAACCATGAAAATATACTTAATGCATAGACTGTATTGCCCTYATCCTCTGCCCTCTTCACAGAAGTTGTTGACTTGCATCTAAAAGCAATACTAAGCAGCTGTCTATAAGACTTGCAAATTAAAAGACAAATTGTACTTAAAAAAATAAGATTTAATTTAGCTGTTCTGTTCAATAATCCAAAGTTACAGCGTGACAACTCTTCTCAGAGGAGCAGAATAACCAACCTTTATTTATTTTCCAGCAACGCTATAGCTGCCCAGRGTGCCCCTTGCAAACCAGCTCTCCGGGCGCTGCCAGCACTTGCAGAGGAATCGAAGTGGGCGGTGGTTGGAGAGGGGCAGAGCGGTTCCTTTGCTGGGGCTGCTGGTTCTAGCCCAGAGAAATATGRCCTTGCACTTGGTTTTCACCTGGTTTGAGCAGTGCTCTTATCTCTGAGCACTTCCGAGTAATAGCTAGTGAATTAAAATAGAGAACAGAAGCAACCTTTCAAATATAGTGAAAAGGGAATAGGAAAGAACCCAGAGACTTTAACCCTTTCCCATTTTATAGGAAAAAAAATCCTAAAATTGCATGCATTTAGTAAAATACTGGTGCCTGCATATTGCCCTCCAGAAGTGAAGCCTCTCTCCAAGATGTGAGAAAGTGGGCAAGGGTTTTGCTGCCTTGGGATCTCACAATGTGACTGCTGCATTTTGGAGCTTGTGTGTGGAGCCACCCCGTCCTCTGGGTCCTTTCCACAGCAGCATCTGCCTTAGAGAGCTCCCAGTGTATTTGGTCATTGGGGATGAATACTTCAAGTGAAGGTTTCAATCCTGTTTTTCGTGCTTAATGTGGTTTTGCACCCCTGCCCTTCTAAAAGAAGATGTGACGAGTCTTGGCAGTTCCCAGCTCTGAGAACTGAATTCCATGGACTGGTTCCAGTCCCGTATGTTCAGTCCATGGTATTCAGTTCTCTAGCTTGGCTGTATCGAACTTCACAACTACTGTACCTGTGTGCTGCTTATTGCTTTCTCTTCTCGTTTTATTAATGAAGAAGAACTCAACTATTTCAGTCTCTCGTTCTTCAGTGTCTCTCCAGAGTGCTCTCAAGGTCAGAAATGAATGTATTTATTGCTTGGAAGTGTTGCATCCATTACCATAAGTGTAATTCACATAGCTGGAAACACACATCTCCTAGGAGTATAGTCTGGAAAAATAACTAAGTGCATTTCAGCAGTTTTACCTTTTCAAAATTCCTTGCAAACAGCATTGCATCTTTTCAGTGCATCCAAAAGGATGAGTTTCTACAACTTCTGCAGGTCAGAAAACAGGAACCAGGTAGTTGCAGTCCAGTGCAGCAGCTGTTTTCTCCGCAGCGCTGTGCGAGTCGCAGGGAAGCATAAAAGCAGATGTGAGCAGTGGTAGCAGCGCCCAGGCTGAGCAAGGCTGCAGCAGGAGGCTCTTTCAAAAGCCAAATGACAGTTTTGCACTTCCAGCTTCTGGAATGACAGAATGACAATTTGGCCATTTTCCAGAATTTCCAGCTTCTGGAATGACAATTTGCACTTGCAGCTTCTGCCGCTGTTCTCTAAGATCATTGCAGTGCTCGCACACTTCTGTGTGTTCCTGCATTGACAATTTTAATAGGATACTCACTTGCCTGGGAAGATTATTATGGCAATTAACACATTAGCAAAACAGAGGGAAGCACTGAAAGCTGCAGAAAAGGTGATGTATACACACTTAAAGGTATTTTGCAGCATCTCTCTCACAGAATGGGGTCTTGCTAAAGCATACTGGAAATCAGAGGTAGCACTGAGAATTCCAGATGCCAGGAAGAGCAGTGTGGTGGCTGTTTTATAGGCCGGTGCTCTTATTGTCCTCGTAAGGTAAGAAGTGGTTCAGGAGAAACATTGGCAACTGTATTTCAGTCTTACTGTATTTCAGCCCCCTTACATGGGCCAGCACGTTCAGACCTTACACAGAGCAAACTGGTGTAAGTAACGCAAGTTAGGATTTGTCTGTTTTTTTTTCACCAAAAAAAAAGCATTTCTAAGAACAGTAAGTTGAAATGAAAAGCGCTACTTTTCCAATTGAATACATGTGCTTTTTATTTAGTCATACAGAAAACAAAAAATTAAAAGCCATAATTCAGCTGCATTTAACTCTYCCTTGTTTCCATAGAAAGCAAAAGTGATTCAGCTGGAAGATTTGGCTTCTCATTTGGGCTTACGAACACAGGTAAGCACAGCTTTGGGGTGCATATACAAGGGCTGAGTCTGGAGGTTTTTAGTTTTGAGAGAAAGTAGGAAGATAGGGTAATTTCCAAGCAGGTTTCTCATCCCTCAGAAAATGCTCAGATTTGGGTGAAGTTCAGCAAAATCAGCCCTAAAAACATAGCTATTCATCAGAGAAGCACAGAGATAGCAAGAGATCGCTGTCCTGCAAGGTTGTTGCAGTGGAACGTGCCCGSTCTCACTCTTGCCCAGGTCCTTGTTGGCCAGTGCAGCTAACAGTGTTTTCAGRGTTACTAAGTGGGCTGCTCAGGGCACTTGGGAATCAAGAGCGGAGCTGGAAGCCAACTCAAATGCTGCCTGGGTAACTGGATAGTGTTTTTATGTTTGCAGAAAGATATGAAGGGCTTTGTCTCAAGTCGACCTCTCTGACTATTCCTTGTTGCTCTTGAGTTCTTGCTTAGCAGAATATATAAGTTTTTTTTTTTCTTTTGGTGCATTGCCTGAGAATGTCTCTCTCAGCAGCATGTAGTCCCTGTCTTCCCCAAGTGAGCTTGTGATGTGATCTCTGTGCTTCTTTTTTTATCCCTGCGGTCCTCTTTCCTGTTTTCTCCATGTTTTGTGTTTAGACTCCGCAGTAGTCATGAAGTAGTCATGGATTTTGTTTGGTTTTAATTTGAGCACATTTGGAATTCTTTGTAAGTGGATTTTTGTTGTTCTGTTCCTGATCTGATATTGGGTTGTATCTTCAGAGCAGCGTGCGCTGATGTAAGTCTAGACTCCTATCCCCCTGCCTAGGCCTTATAACCAGCACTTCATTAAGAGAGGCAGTTCAGGGAGTTGATGTAGTAGAAATTGCAGCTATAGCTTTTTTTTTGAAGTCACATGAGTGCAAATAAGGGAGAGAGGCAGGACTGCAAGAACCTTAGTTTAGATACTAGCTTAAACTGTAGATGAACTGCATGCTTGGTGTGATCACAGCATTCCCCAGGCACAAACTCCTCTTTGGAGCAGCAGAGGACACCTTAGCTTGAGGGAGGAGGGGGAGAAAAACTAAAAACTAAAAATAAAAAAAATAAAAAGCAAAGCTTTGGAATACAGTCCAAAGCTTCTTGGAGAAGTCATCAGAAGACTTTATGGCACYAACACTGTTGCATTGGCACAGCGCAGGCTTCCCCTGCAAAGATGCACAGAACTCCCTTCTGTGAAATAGTTTTGTAATAGCCGTAAGTTCCAGATAAGTCTCTTCTGTGGGTATGGAAATTGCAGATGCTTGTCCTGTTCTGCACCCAAACTACTTCTGACAAAGAACTTAATGCATCCATCTGTATGGAGGTGCTGATGTGAATTCTTCACTGTAATACTTTTTACTGACACATTAAATATGAACTTCCATCTCTAGTATGTCTGAACGCGTGTTTTTTTTTTTTATCCTTTTCTTAATCAGTTGGTTATTCCTTTTTCTTTTTTTCCTTTCTGAATAGGATGCAATTAACAGAATCCAGGACTTGATGGCAGATGGCACTTTAACAGGTGACAGACAAAACACTGGGAGACTTTAGCGGGTTGCAGAAAACATCTTAACTGTTTTAAGGGGAGATCCTCAGTGCAATTTCTATTTTAAACAGTAGAGGATCCCAGCAGGACACGATCAATAGGTGTGTTACTTATCCCTGCTCCGGCTGCTGTGAAACCCTTCTKTTTAATGCCACTATTACGTGCGTGGTTGCTCCTGTGATGCCATAGACAAAGTTTTGGGCTAAATGTCCATAACAGTGCAGGGACCAGCTTAAGCCCCACATATAGTTTAAGCTCTGCTTTAGATATTGCTGGGTGCCAATGATGCCCTCCAAATTGCTAACTTGAAAAAAAAAAAAAAAAAAACCATGGTTGTTTTGGGTGGTTTACAAGTCTGTTTTAAAGATGTTTTGTCTAAAGCTGGTATCATGGCTGTGGGGCAAGCAGATATTGCGGACAGCCCCAAACTGAGACCTCTAATAAGTGCCTTTTCCTGCCTGTGTGCCTTGTGCAAGCAAAGCTGGAAAGCAAACAGGCTCGGAGCACGTGGCCACATTCCTGCCTGAACAAGCTGTGTGTTTCACTGCTGGGAAGTCATTGCTCTCTGAGGAGGAGGTAGGGGAAGGGGCCACCGCAAACACATTTACAGACCTGGAAGTTGTTTGCGAGCCGTGACCACCGTGTCCTGGTGGGTGCATTTGGATCTCCATCCRAGTGAGCTAAAAGTGCTCTGAATCAGGACGTGAGGGGTGTGCTATCCCGGCTGTGCTTGTGGCCTTAACAGCCTGCCAGCAGGGCTCTGTGCCTCCTGCACTTGGTCTTGTCGTGTGTCAGGAACAGAGAGTGCTATTCACAGTGCTGATGGAGCCACTGCAGTTCAAAACTGGAGCTTCGTTGCCTTCCAGAGGATAACTTGGAATGACCGAGCTAGGCTCCACTGGAGCTCCCACCTCTCTGCCTTTACTCAACAGGCTGCCKGGGCCCAGAACTTGAATACCACAGCTACATATTTAAAGTAGCTGCTGTGATACTTCCAGACTAGCCATACTCAATAGAAAAAAAATCCATTGTTTTGCTATTTTCTGAACAATATTAGTCCTACCAGAGCACTCAGATATTGTCCTAGCCCTGTGCCAAGAGCTGACAGTAAAGATGGAAGTAGAGGCCTCATTTCTGGCATGTTGTTCTGCCTGCCCTAGGTATGAAATGCAGCCTCATCCATTTAAACCTTCCTTCCAGAAGAAGTGGCCCTAACGTGAGTGATGCCTGTTGGGATTTGAGAAGAGCCAAAGTGCTGACCCCTCATCCCTTTCTTTCCCCGCTGTAGGTGTGATTGATGACAGAGGGAAGTTCATCTACATCACYCCGGAGGAGATGGCTGCGGTGGCTCGCTTTATCAAGCAGAGAGGACGGGTCTCCATCGCCGAGCTGGCCCAAGCCAGCAACTCCCTGATCAACCTCCAGCCTGAGAGCGGAGCTGTCGCTCAGGCAGTGGCATGAAAGTGCAGCTCGAAAACACAGCACGAGTTTAACCTGGTAGCGAATAAGCCAYGTGATTAAAACCAAACAAACCCCCCCCATCCCATTCACAGTTACTTCAGATAAGACACTTTTTTAAGCATTATCTGCAAGACTTCACTAAGGTTTTGCTTTTGAGTCTATGAGAGAGTTGATCTAAAACTGGACTGTCATTTGTACAGCAGATGCTGGTGAAGAATTTGCAGCTCAGCCACCCTGCTGCGCCTGTACCCCACAAATTGCAGCAATTTGTACCTACCTGGTCTTTTTTTAACCTTAGCAGGTAGTCCCATGTGAACATCCCAAACTTCTCGTTGTTTCTACATTCCGGTGTTGGCAGCGAATGCATCAGGTCCTGATTGCATTCAGCCTTCTCCAGGCTTGCTCTGAACACGCTGAGCTGAGGAATTTAGTGGCAGTGACGAATACAGCCTGGAACAATAGGTCGGGGGGGCTGAGGCTTGCAGACTTTGTCTCTGCGTCAACACTGGGAGGGCACAGGAAAAAGAAAGATCAAATTTGCTACTGAAATGATAAAACCCTAGGGAGTGGCAGTTGGAAGGGCTTTCAAAGGCAATTTCAGAAAACTTTTACCATTTAAGCGCTTTTGCCATATAAAAAACTGTTTGGTTTGATTTATATAATACCAGAAGYTTGCTTGCGGCCAAGCTGTGATTGTGTCTGTTGCCAAAAGACACAAACGTCTCCAGGCAGAGGCACATCCCCCTCATTCGCTGTGTGGGCCAGTTCTGCTGATACCAGCTGGATTCTGAGGCTTCATCTTTGGAAGTAAGAACCATCTCAGTGACCTTCAAGGCCTCACAGCCCTGTGTTTAATAATCTACAAAAAAAGAGACAAGCCAATTTGGGGGATTGTGAATCATACAATTAAGGTTACAAGTAAATGATCACTAATAGCTTTTGTAATTTTAGGGCTCAGTTAATTTCCTGCCTAGGAAATACTTATTTTTTTTAATAGCCTCRTTGATGCTGGGTTATTTTTTCCGTTCTGAAATGAAGAGAATCTATCAGGAAATACAGCAGCAAGGTGAGGGTGAATTGGCTTGTGTCATCCATGCGAGGAGAGAGCAATAAAAGAATGGGAGCAGGCAGGTTTTCTGTGAAACCTCAGTGCTGCTGCTGAATGTGCAGGGTGACGGGGCAGCAGCAGCGTGAAAATTGGCATGTCTGGAATGCACTGCCAGGCACTTACCAGCAAAGTGGCTACCTGGTATCTGAGGCTTATCTCCAAATTATTCAGAATTTGATTTTTGCCCTTTTATATCTGGTTGGAGTTCTGTCATGGACTATTCTTGAAGTAAAATAAATTTTCTGGAAAGAATGGCAGAGATTTGAGTTTGTGGATTTTTTTGATGYATGAAAGCATGTTATAAGGTAATACAGCAGGCTCGATAGCACAGCTCTATCGGTCAAAGAATCATAGAATCCTTAAGGTTGGAAGGGACCTCTAGAGACCATCTAGTCCAACCCCCTGCACACGCAGGGTCACCTAGAACATGTGGCACAAGCGGGTTTTGAAGACCTCCAGAGAAGGAGACTCCACAGCCTCTCTGGGCAGCCTGTTCCAGTGCTCTGAGGCCAAAGGAAGCCCGTTAAATCCTCGGCACTACAAGATGCACTCACAATTTCTGTGAATGCAGCAGAAATGTGAATGTGGGCACCGTGCAGTGCGAGCTGCTCCTTTTGCATGGGGCACCTTCTGCATCGTGGTTCTGTAGGGATGTCTCATCTTCAAAGCTGCTTCTAGACGTTGCTTAGCTGATGTGTGCAGCAGTCACACATTTGGTCTGGCAATGTCCCCTCCGTGGAGAATCTGTGCAAAGTTCTCCACAACATCCAACTAGTTACTGCATCTCTTATTGTAGAGTTCAGATGGTGTTTGAGGCTGCTGCCTGTGGAATTAATATCCTGCACCGCTGTGGCACCAAAACGTGCTTTGAGTGCGACGTGCCACGTCTAGATAAGGGATGTAAAGTCAAGTGCATCAAGGCCTGAGGTTTAACAGCACCTGCAGAACCTCCTTGTGCTGCTGTTGTTCTGGGCAGGGGCTTGGGGCTTGCGTTATTTCTTGGCACTTGCGACGTGACGCGTTAGCTGTTACCTTAAATGGTGCAAACCAGGTTAGTTAACAGAAGTGAGAGTTCACGCAGCTGCCCGCTGCGAGCAGCGGGTGCCATCTGCTCCCAGCGCCCTGCACCTTAGTTTGGGCAAAATTCATGTTTCGTAATACGAACACAATGCGCACCAGCTCGTTACTGCCGTTTTACAGGGCTGGGGCAAAGCCAAGATCGCTGTTTGTGGTTCACTGGCGGGTCATGGAAAGGCAGGCTGAAATGTGCAGTGTGAAGGAGGMTTGTGCGAGCCAAAGTCATGGTCTGCTGGAGAGCTGCAATGATAACAAGTGCCCCAAAAGTGCCTCTTGCATAAGCTCCTGCTTTGAAAGCTGAAGGAAGGAGTGTCTCCATGGTCTGCAAAGCCCCAAGGCAGTCAGGCCAAGTATTTGCACGTGGGATATGGAGCATGAAACAGACTGGTTGATCTTTCTGCAGCAACTCTGCCTTTCATGTTGTTTGTCAGARTGGGAGACTAGTTTTAGCCTCCGGGTTTCTCCTTGCGGCTGCACCTAACCCTGTTTTTGTTGTTTCTTTGGGTTGGGCAGTTGTTGTGTGGAAACTTCCAGTAGGTCCTTGCCCTGGCTTGGAAGCTGCCAGTGAAAAAGCGGTGGCAGATTTAGCTTTGACCTCGCTGCAGTGCCAGGTGAAACATCAGCTACTGGTCTGCAGTTGTGAAGCCTCGTCCTCACTGGCTTCCTCCCAGCCTCTCTGCAGCACAGAACCAGACTTGGACTCAACACAAGAGAAAAGGATGTGGAATTGCACAGGAATGGAGAGACCAATGACTTAGGAATTGGGGGGAAAACAGAGGTGAGATCAAGCATGTGCAGGCTGGTAACTCTCTGCTTATGAAAATTCAAGCAGAAGCAACTGGTGATCAGCCATGGAGAAGCCGTGGGGTTGGGTCATGCTCTTCAAAGGGCAGCTAAGCAAAGCCCATGGGGCAGAGCCTGTGGGCAAATGGGTGGTTGTCCTTTGCCCTGCAGGTCCTGTCGAGCTCAGTGCCTCGGGTTATGGCACATTAAGTTTTTCTAAGAGAGTTATGGGGCTTTTTTGAGCATCTGCACCCAGATTCAGAGCAGCCAGGAGAGGGAGTTCACATTGTGAGTAGAATTACCCAGGGCCATTTGTTGGACTTTGAAGAAGCCTTTAACACTACAGCACCTCTCAGATGTGAATTTGAGYTCTCTCCTGCAGAAAGAAATAAGATTTGCACCACTAACCAGTACGGTGACCTGCCCCGTGCGATACCTGCTAGGACAAACTATGCCTGATGCAGCCAAGAGCTCAAAACCCAGCCAGCGTTTTCAGGAAGTTTCTCACGGATGTTTTTGCAAGCGTGCATTAGCTATTTGCAGCTTACRAATACGAACCAGTGTGCTGTACATGGCTAAGCACTACCAAGGAGGCTTTCCTGGATGCAAATCAGTCATGAAAATTAGCCTTGGGCTAGGACACCTCGGCCGGCTCACCCTCTTCACCCGAGCACCCAACAGGTTCTGCATTTTGCTCCCTGATGCTTTGTCCAAACCCTTTCTAAAAGTCAGACTGTTCTCCTATCCTTTGTCTTTCTCAAAAACCCCCCCCCAAAAACTCTATTTGCAGTTAAACACCGCTCGCATTTTATGCAGCATTTATCACTGTGCTTTTCTCCTTTCTCTCTGAACTAGTACAAGAGCTCTGAGCTTCTCTGGGTGAACATGGAAGGAATAATAATAATTACTTGCTCATCAGAGGGAGCTTGTCCTAATTTTCCCATTCTGCCTCAAGGCAGAGGCCAAAAACATTAAATTCAAAACCCTGCCTGCATATCAGGCAATGCGAGGGCTAGTCAAGGGAAACGCAAACTTTTTTCCCCCATTCATCTCGGTGAAAGAGTGGAACAGCTGCCCAGAGCGTACTCAATCTGAAGCACTTGCGAAGCATCAAAAATGCAAAAGCAATAAATATCACAACTTTTCTTTCTTTTTCTTTCCTTCCTCCTGCTTGCGATTTGAATTTTAGAGCTCTGCGGCTCCCAGCTTGCCCAGTAACCATGGAGACCGGCGAGGGATTCTGCTTTAGAAGAAGACTAAAAGCCGAGGTGGTGAGTGCATCTTGAGGAACACGCTAAATGTCACAAGATGGTGATGAGTCACCGAGCTGCAATGTTCCCCTCCGAACAGAAGCCGCCGCGGTCTGGGCTCGCAGATTGTTGCTGTAACACCCCGCGCGGCTCTGCTCCAGCCATCCCGACGGTGAATCCGAAGGGTCTCCAGGAGAAGCTCTGTGCCTGCAGCACGGTGCGGATGGGAATTGAATCCGCTTTGTCTATGATGATAGAACTATGAAAGTCAAGCAAGGGCGTTTTCCCCTTCCTGCCCTAAAGACAAAGGAGTCAAGGAACTCTTAGGATCTCGTGTGGCTGCATCTAGTTTACAAAACGTGCAGGAACCCGCCGTTGGTTTGGTGGTGAGATAGAGGAAGCACTCCGGATTGATTTGGTGGCCAGTAAACCAGCTCAGTTCCCTTTTGAGTCACTGAGCTGTGCTTCCCTTTCTTGGGCTAACTCAACGTATGAGTGCTGCCATTGCACGTAGCATCAGGAGGAGCTTCTGCAGGCTGAATCAGACTCCTTATAGTTGACAACAGCCTTCAAGACCATCAAAAATGCCTTGACCAGTCCATCAGCAAGGAGAAAAGCCTCCTGTAGGGCTGTGGCTTCTCTAAGCACTGCTCCACTGAGGAGCTGGCCCAGGAGTCTCTTGGGAGCAGCATGAACCTGGGCCGTTCAAGTCATTGCATTTTCAGTGCAGCAGACAGATGAGCTAAGACTCTACAGAGAGGGAAGGTGGGTTTGGACCAGCCAGTCCCATGAATGACTGTAGTAGCATTACTTGATACATGGGAGAGCTTGTGCAGGTCCCAGTGGTTTTATTGCTGCAAGAGAAAGGTCTCCTCAGGGTTCTGAAAGCAGGACCAAAATGGTTAGAGATGATGATAGTTTATGCTTAGAGATGGCCTGTGTACGAGCTGCAGGGGGACGAGTATTTCCTCCTTAAGCTCCTCCTGGTCAGAGGGATTCGGGGTCACTGCAGATGAAAGAAACCTCTGTCCCCAAAGGAAACCTCTGCCAGCATCAAATTAAGGTCAAGGGACRGAGCAGGGAGACGGCCTCATTTCTGCCTGGCAAGGGACTCTGTGCCCGGGAGCAGCTGGTCCCGCAGTCGTGGTTCTCCCCATGCCCACCAGGGATGTCCTGCTTGTACGTTTGAACTGCCCCATGCCAGAAGACCTGCAGAAGGTCTATGGGGCACCAGCTCTGCGGAAGGGGACCAAAGGAGATGTTGCCTAACCATCATCTCCAGTGCTGTGGGGCAGCTCAGGGTGCCAAGTGTCCCAATGCTGCTCTGCAGTCGCTGCGTCTTGTCCACCTGCCTTCTTTAAAGAAGCTCCTTGAGCAAGAAGACTCAGATCCTGCTCAAGCATCCTCCTTTGATTATTGTTCTCTACAACTTATTTTAGAAGATGATGGTGGGTACAAGCTGGGAGAAGGTACAAAAAGCAGTTCCTAAACATAGCTGTGTCAGCACCGTCTCCTGGTTTRTTTTCTTTCTGAATAATGCTAAATCTCTGTTGTTTGCGGGTTCCTTTAGTTCCTAGCACTGTCCTGAGTTAGGGGCTTTATAGCATGAAGGAGACAAAATAGCAGCTGTTCTTTCTATGGGGGCAACAGACTGCATTGCAAATTTTTCTAATTAGTTAAGTGACCCCATTATGCCCCCTCCGTTCAAAGTTATTCAATRCAGAAATGATTCGGGGCCATTAGCAAAAAGCAATCCCACGTTTCAGGCCAGGCCGTTCGTGATGGGATCAATGAGCTGCAGAAAAGCCGAGCTCAGCCCCTGCGCTTAGCCCCCCAGCGCGGGACTCGCCCGTCTTTGGTCCAAAGCCGCCCCCGGCAGCCCGAGCTTCTCCCTGCGTCAGTGGTGGCCGCTCTGCCCCGCGCGCCGGAGCCTCTGATCCCCGTGGGCTGCCGGCTTTGTGAGAGAGATGAGAGGAAGCTGAAAGCTGCCGAGGCCGCTCCGGGTCRTGGCGATGCTCCGGCACCGCTTCCCAGGGTCCTCCTCCACGTTGCCTCCGTGCACAGAGCTGAACCTC